AAATTTAAAAATTAAAATGGGTAAATTTGTCAATAAAATAATATAAAAATAAAAATATAATAATCACTTAAAATTATTAAAAATAAAAAATAAAATTAAAACTACTTAAAAAATGCTAATTAAAAATTATGACCAAAAACTAAAAAATTAAAATAGATAAATTTGTTAATAAAATTAAAAAAACTTCAATCCACTGGGTAGTTTCATACAAATAATTATCTTAAATAACTTTTTCAATTCGTTAACGATTTGAACTCTAATTGTTCTCTATTAGTCCTACACTATTAAATAAATAAATTTATCAAACATCTAATTTATAACGATTTTGAAATAAATAATTCACCAAACATTTATCACTAATAGTTTTTACAAAATTACTAACTACTACCCTATACTGCTATACTAAATAGATTTTAAATTTAATTAAATGTCATTTAGTACCAAATCACTTTAAATTAAATCGAGGTTTCATATTGCAGGGGCTTAAATATGAGGCAGGCCAAGTTTGGAGACCAAAGAGACAGGCGGACGAAAGTCGTGGATTGAAGCGTGACCCCCCTAAAACCGACGTCATTTTGGCTTAGATCGTCTTCTTCCCCCGACCTAGTTACACCATCGTGGCCGATTTTTCCTTGTCTACAGAAAACTTCGCGGAAGGTGCAGCAAGGGTAGGCTCCTCCAAGGCTCAAGCATATAGAGTTGAGATGTAGGGTTTTGAAGGATTGGGTTTTTCCGGAGTGTTTTAGAGGAGCCGACGACCAAAAAAGAAAGAAGAGAGGAAATCACCATCTTTTTCCCCTTTTTTTTTTTTTTTTTCTCTGTGCCTATCCTCTTCCTCTTCGTGAGATTTCAGAGTGAAGCTTGAAAACACTTTCTATTTTGTAATCGATTTTCAAGGAATAGAAGTGCAATTTTTCTACAATCTCAGGTACTCTTTAGATTCAATTCCAGGGTCGACCCAACATTGGGTCCCCTTATATGGAAAGTTTCTATTTTTAGTTTTGGTTGTTGTGTTCGGTCTGGGAAATTATACATATTGTTGGAAGAAAGTCCAACCCCACATGTGAACCCATGGATTTTGTGTGGAAGTTTGCTTCACCAACCTAGCTAGTTGTGGGTTAGGATTGCTTTGTTGAAATCATGCAAGATTGTATGTCGAGCCATTTAACGAACAAAGAAAATCATGATGGGTAGTGACGAGGCAAAGAAAAATGGTGCATGAGTGGTTGGATTTTTCACTATAAAAACCCATGCATGCAAAGGCAATGGGCAAGCAAGAGTAGGAGAAAGCAAGAGAAATTGAGTGAGAGCTCTTGTGAGAGAAAAGAAAAAGAGAAATTGTGAGAAATCCTTGTGTAGATTAAGATGGAGTATTAGGGAGAATTTAGGAGTTTTTATACATTGAAATTAGGGTGTTGAGTACTTTTTGAATGAAAGAGCTTCTAAATTATTATACTGTTTTTCTTAATAGTGGATTTATTTCTCTTTTTCCCATGGACGTAAACTTGTTAAGAGGTGTACAAGTCAAACCACGTTAAATTATTGTCTCAATTCCTTTATCGCTTTCGTTTGTGTGGGATTGTGGTGCTCGAAATTCCCAACAAGTGGTATCAGAGCTGTTGGTAGAGCTCCTGGTGTTGTGGCGAAATGCAAACCGAAGTCATGAAGTATTCAATTGAGCTGTTCGATGGCAAGAATGACTTTGCTTTATGGCAAAGCACAGTGAAGGATGTCCTTACTTGTCAAGGACTTGACGCAGCTTTAGAAGAGACCAAGCCAGTTGAGATGAAGGATACTGATTGGAGTACTATCCAAAAGAAGGCAGCAAGTCAAATTCGGCTGGTGCTTGCACTAGAGGTGAAATACAACGTCCTTTCAGAGACTACTCCAATAGGCATGTGGAAGAAGCTTGAAGAGATATATGCTTGAAAATCTTTAACCAATCGGATGTGTTTAAAGATGGAGCTATATCAATTGAAGATAGTAGAAGGCACAAATATTCGTAAGCACTTATTTGATTTCAACATGATGGCGACACAAGTAGTGAATGCTAGGGACATTCTAGAAGAAGAGGAGAAAGCTTTGCTTTTACTTGCATTCTTGCCAAAGTCTTACAAGTCCTTAGTGCAGACTATGCTAGTGGATAAGACTACTTTGGTGATGAAAGATGTCACATCCATGTTGTTGGAGAATGATAAGTTTCTTGGGGAGGATGATAGTGCCAATCAAACTAATGCTTTGGTGATGGAGCACTCTCAGGGAAGATCCAATGGACGTGGAGGTGGAGGAAATCGAGAAAGGTCGAAATCCAGACCTAAGAAGGATTATGGTGAAGTGTAGTGTTTTTATTGTGGTGAGTTAGGTCACAAACAGTACAAATGCTTGAAGTTTAAGGACTTTTTTAATATGAAAATATTGATGAAAAGTCAAGAAAACAAGGGTAAAGGGGAGGCTAATATTGTTGAAGGAAATGTGGTTGAAGTATTAGCTTGTGAAGAGTGTGATCCTGAGGTGGAGCAAAACAATCAGAGGTGGATTTTGGATTCCATTGCAACCATGCATGTGTGCAATAATCCTTCGGAATTTGTGAGTTTGGTTCAGGGGGAGCTTGGCAAAATAACGGTGGCTACCAGCGAGAAGGTGAATATTGAAGGCATAGGAGATGTTTGTCTCAATGTTCACAATGGAAGAGCCAAGATTCTCAAGAATGTGAGATATGTGCCCAAGTGTTCAAGCAACATTATTGCTTTGAGTGAGTTGACAACACGAGGGTGCAAGTATGTCGGAAAGCAAGAATGGTGCAAGGTCTACAAAGGTGGAAGACTTGTCTTGCGTGGGAGGAAGAACAGGCACAACATCTATGTGCTTGAGCAACCTCCCAAGAGAAGGCTCAACAAAACCATGAGGAAGATGGTGTGGAAGCCTAAAGGGATCTTGGTATATGGCAAGAAAATTAATAAGACCAAGAAGAAGGTGAGCTTCAACAATGAAGTGGTGTTTGATGATGGTTCGAGGAGGTGTGATTTTCCCTCGGATCATATCTTGGTTCAAAATTAATTTCTGTAGTGCATCTAGTGTAGGTTTGTCCTATCTTATACTAGGAGGAAACTCTCAAAAATAGGACACCATGACGAAGTGTTCCTGAGTAGGGGGAGCAAAATTATGGAATGTTGAAGTGTATGGAGTCATGGTTGGTTTCTCCTCTCATAGGGTTGGAGGGGGAGATTGTTGGAAGAAAGTCCAACCCCATGTGTGAACCCATGGACTTTTTGTGTGGAAGTTTGCTTCACCAACCTAGCTAGTTGTTGGTTAGGATTGCTTTGTTGAAATCATGCAAGATTGCATGTTGAGCCATTTAATGAACAAAGAAAATCATGGACGGGTAGTAATGAGGCAAAGAAAAATGGTGCATGGGTGGTTGGATTTTTCACTATAAATACTCATGCATGCAAAGGCAATGGGCAAGCAAGAGTAGGAGAAAGCAAGAGAAATTGAGTGAGAGCTCTTGTGAGAGAAAAGAAAGAGAGAAATTGTGAGAAATCCTTGTGTAGATTAAGAGGGAGTATTAGGGAGAATTTGGGAGCTTCTATACATTGAAGCAAGGGTGTTGAGTGCTTTTTGAATAAGAGAGCTTCTAAATTATTGTACTATTTTTCTTAATAGTTGATTTATTTCTCTCTTTCCCGTGGACATAGACTTGTTGAAAGGTGTACAAGTCGAACCACGTTAAATTATTATCTCAATTTCTTTATTGCTTCAATTTGTGTGGGATTGTGGTGCTTGAAATTCCCAACACATATGAAATTTTTCTGTTCTTATTACATGCTGCCTGAATTTCTTGCAGACAAATTGCATTTTTGCTTAGTGGATGAGTAGCAATTGTAAAATGGATGTTGAAATCTGATGCAAGTTTGATCCTTTGAACATGCTGCTGCTTATCCTTGATTTTCATGTGCTTTATGAAATAAGGTTTTTCCATTATTTCTAACTCGTCATAGCCTTGCGAAGTTTGCAGTATATAGGGATCTTCTTTTATGGCTTCTGAGCTTATTTGAATTTAATATTCATGTTATATGGTGCAAGCTGTGTTCTGCTTCTGTCACAAGCTCTGAACGATATGAATTTCATGACAATGAGCTTGAAAACTACTTGTACATACTGCGATTTCAAATTGATTTTCATACCCTTTCATTTGGTCTGCATTTTGATTTTTGAGCTCGGATTATATGATCATTTAGGATATCTAGCCTTTTCAAAAAAAAAAAAAAAGGGAAAGAAAACCGAGTTGTTTAAACTTAATAGAAATTTGGAATAATGTGCTTTGCTTTGGAGCTTGCTCGACAGTCATGTTGAGCATGATTTTGTCCATATAGAATTCAATGCACTTGGTATTACTTGTCTTGACTATTTCTTTATTTAGTCTTAATGAAATGACCCAAGTATGGTTTTCATAGCATAATTTCCTCTCTGTTTCAGCTATCGTTTCCTGAATTTGGCTTCAAGTCTTGATAGAAAAAAAAAAATCAAGAAAAAATATATTACTAGATTATTTCTTTGATTATTTGTTTTTTGATTATCCAAAAATTAAAAGTATGCAATTATGTTCTTTTACAGAGATTATGAGATGTGTATATACCCTTCCACATGCCTACTATATCTCAGACTTCAATTTCTGACTATGTTTTGAGGTGATTTATATGACCTTATAATTTAAACAAATAACAACTCTAAAATTTTTTTAAATTTTTACACCTAATTTTCAAATTTCATTTCATTTTGAATTTGAATGGATTGCGAACAAACTTTATTTTAAGGTCTGTCTTTTATTATTTTTTTATATATAAAAAAATAGTTTTTAATGTATAATAATTACTGTTACTATATGTTCTGCCAGTTATTTAAAAATCTAAAACCGTTCACGTATAACCCATTATAAATATTCACTTTAAAGATTGGGTCAATTATAAAGTGGATAAGTTGTTCGCTAATTTTATATTATTCACTAAACACCTATATATGAAAAAAAATTTCATTTAGTAATACAAAATAAACATAATTTATCTCAATCATTTAAACAATATAATCATAATTTTTCAATCAACCAATTAATCAATATAATCATATTTAACCAATCAATAATTAATATTATAATATTTTCCTAAACTAAATTTCAAAATAAAAATGTAATAAAAAATTAGAACATACTTATAAAAGTGGAGATTTGTAATTCAATTGATCAATTGAAGTGAAATTAAAACTTTGAATTTAATAGTGGACCTACAAAAAAAAAAAGATTAATGAATTGAGAAATGTCAAAAACATACAAATAAAAATATAAATTATAACAATTAATTTATGAAAAATAAAATAATATATCAACAAAATCACATAAAAAGTAGTATTTTTAACTAAATATTAATTATATAAATAAAAAATAACAAAATAAATTAAATACTTAGTAATCAATCAAATAATTAATAATTATAATGTAAATTAATCAACCAATTAATCAATATAATAATATTTAACCAATCATAAATTAATATTATAATATTTTCCTAAACTAAATTTCAAAGTAAAAGTGTAGTAAAAAATTAGAACATACTTATAGAAGTGAAGACTTGCAATTCAGGTGATCAATCAAAGTGAAATTAAAACTTTAATTTGATGACGGACCTGCAAAAAAAAAAAAAAAGAAGAAGATTAATGAATTGAGAAATGCCAAAAACATACAAATAAAAAAATAAATTATAACAATTAATTTATGAAAAATAAAACAATATATCAACAAAATCACATAAAAAGTAGTACTTTTAGATAAATATTAATTATATAAATAAAAAATAATGAAATAAATTAAATACTTAGTAATCAATCAAATAATTAATTATTATAGTGTAAATTTACCTACTAATTAATTAATCAATATAATAATAATTTACTAATCAATTAAATGATATAATTATAATTTAACAATCAATAACTAATAAATTAACAATAAATTAATTTACAAATCCATTAATTAATATAATCATAATTTATAAATTGATTAAATAATATAATAATTAATCAATCAATTAAGCAATTTCATTATAATTTACCAATCAATTAAACAATATGATCATAATTTATCAATCAATCAATTAATCAATATAATTATAATTTACCAATACATACTAATATTATATTTTTTTCTTTAATTAAATTTCAAAATAAAAATTTAACAAAAAATTAGAACATACTTATAAAAATAAATACTTCAAATTCAAGGAAATCAAAATGAAATTAGAACCATGATCTTGATTGCGGACTTACAAAAAATAACAACCAAAAAAGATTAATGAGTTGAAAAAAAAGTAAAGAACTTACAAATCAAAATATAACAGCTAATTTATGAAAAGTAAAATAATATATCAATAAATTCACATAAAAAGTAATATTTTCATAGAAATATTAATTATATAAAAAAATGAAATACTTACTCATTAATCAAATAAAACAATAGATTGAGACACAAGAAGGATGGAGACAACTGATGGTATAAATGCAAAGTAATTAAAAGTGATTTACCTGAAAAATGAAGAAAAATAGTGAGGAAAAAAAAGGGGGGGAAGGACAAGATCCTACTTAATTTACTTGAGAAATGAAGAAAAGTAGTGAGGAAAAGAAAAAAAAAAAAGAAAAGAAAAAAAACCAGATCCTACCTAATCATACTTAGATCGGGCTTGAACACTCGTGAAATGTCCCGCAAAATTTGCCCAAATCAAAAGAAACACATGGTTGTAAATGGGGAAGCACAACAGAACCGAAAGGAACATAAGAAGAAAACTAAAGACAATTCTGATGGGAAAGAAGAGAAGACATGGCACATGAAGGAGTGTCAGCAACATTTTGGTCGAGCACCATGACCGAAAAAAGGAGGAAACATGGTGGGCCCCACAAGCTCATACATCAATCATCTACAAGATTCCCACTTTCGGACAAAACAATTGACCAAAAAAAAAAAAAAGCTACTCTCCCTATTTTTTTGGTCAATAAAACTGACCGAACAAAAAACTTGAAAGGCTGAAACTCCATTGGCTTCCATCAAATCAGAACCAGGTGCATTTTTTCAGTCAAAACAACTAACCGAACAAAACGTGGAAGGCTGAAGCTTCCATCAAATCAACTAGGTCCATTTTTTCAGTCAAGAAAAATGACCGAACAAAACATGGAAAACTTGGGAGGCTGAAGCTTCCATCAAATCGGCACCAGAACCATTTTTTTCAGTCAAGACGAATGGCGGAACTGTATTTGTAAAAAGCCAGAAAACAGTTCGGTCAAGAGTACTAACCAAAATGAACCGACATATATGTACTTTATTGGTTAAAAATTTGTGTATCTTTTTTATATAGTTTCAATCAATATGATTGACCAAATTAGTTTGCAATCAAGAATATTGATCGAACATAATATGGTGCCAACTCTCGCCTCCTTATTTCGATTGAAATGCTTAACCGAAATATATTTTGACTGAATTAGTCGTTGAGCATGGTTTAAAATGGACATTCTTGGAGTTCGGTCAGTCATTATGTCTGAAATATTGTGTTTCGGTCAAGATTTTTGCTTTACCGAAATGCTTTGTTCGAAAAAAAGGTTTTTCTGGTAGTGATTATGTCGAATAAGATTATCCTACCAATAAGGAAATTCCCAAAAAATGCACTTTTTCACTCGATTATGAATGTTCCCAAAACCCTCAATTATTTGGTTTTTAAAGGATTTCCCAAACAATACATCAAAAAGGTTTTCAACTTAGTGACGCTGTAATACCCCAAAAATTTCAAAAGCAAATAAGTGTGAGTTATGGACTAAATTGTGAGAGAATAATATTGTTGGCCTTAATAATAGAAACTTTTAAAATCAAGGGGTTTAAAAGAAAACAAATTGGATAAGGATTGGCTGACTTTTTTTCTTCTTTTTTCTTCCTCACCCGCGCATCTGCTCTTCTTTTCTTCCCCCTGCACCACTTCATTTCCACAGCTTTAAGCATGAAATTCATATTCTTGGTGATTGGTTTGACCAATTTGGAAGTTTGGGATGGTAAAGCTAGTTTTTCTTT